CTCCATATGCCTCTTTAGTCCAGCCATGTTGAGCTTGCTGCATGTAGTGGGTAAACGAGAGAAACAGTGAGAAAATGTAAATAAATATATTAATACATACATGATTTTAGGGAGAGTTATGAATTTGAGGAAGTGGAAAATATATTTGCAGTCAGTGACACTCCAGATTAGCCTTCCTCAGGTACAATAAAACATGTGGAAATTCTACTCATATTCCAGGGGAACAAGAATGAGCATATTCTTCATGTTTTTATGGAGAAGGCAAAAGCAGTGTGGAGAGCTTCCTCTATCCATGAAGCATCTCCATGGGATTCAGAACTCTGGTTTCTCAGGTCTTGTCACATTCCAAAAGGTCCCACTGATTGAAAAGCTCTGTACCATGAGCCATGGCCCACTACACATTAAAGGGAAAGTGGAGGATACAGTTAGTATATTTATTCTACACTCCTGAACACCAATCTTGCTTTTTATAATAACTGAAGAAATAAATTATGTGTCCAATGTGAGCGCTAAAATAGAGTTCTGAAACTGAATATCATGGCATTTAAGGAACTGGCTCTTGCTCAAATAAATTTTATCTTTTTCAGAGCAGGACAATGGCTAGAAAATTACTCAGGGATGGAATTCTACCGGTTTGGACCGGTTCCGGTGAAGTGCGTTCTTACCAAACCAGTTGTTACACCAGTTGAATCGCACCACTGAAATTACTCCAACATGAACCCAAGATTTCTGATGACATCTGTCTCAGGTCTTGAGTATTTTGAAGCACGGTATTTTGATTATGGCAATTTGTATGTATTTAACAGATATACAGTTCTATCCACTTAAAAGATCTAGAGGCTGTAATCAACAGCTTCCTTAGTTTTTTAATTGGATAATGAGAAATAACTAGCTGGTACTATGTAAAAGCCTTTAAGATAAATTTGGACTAATGTGTATGATAGAACTTTTATGTCAGAACTTTAGTGATTTTAAAGTAGTCAGACAATTAATCTCAGGACTAAAAGTCATGGGGCCACTTCATATTTTGTCCAGTGGCAAGGGAATTTATTAGGAAGTTTACACATAATTTATTGGGGGCCTGCAGTATGATAAGCAATCAATTCTCATGGTTGATAGAGAAACTTAAATACTATTTTGTGTAAAGTAAAGGAAGGGCATGGAGTATTCATTTCAAGGCTTCCTGCTTTCTTCCAGAAAAGGGGTCTATTTAATTTTAATTTGTATGAGGATTATAAGGAGTTAGGTAAAGGTCTGTTTTCTTTAAAGGCTTTTAGTCGAAATCAAGGCATTACTCTAAAAAGGGACAAAAAGAAAAAAATAAAGAAATTGAGATAAGGGAAGCTGTCTCTCTCTCCAAGAAAGATGTGAGAGTTCATTGGATTCTTATACATACATTTCATGGGTTGGATGAAGAAAAATGAAATTTCTGGCTATTCTCTAATAGCGTTGTTTTTGAATATTCTCTAGTAATTGATATTCATGACATTTCGTACTATATTAAGAATAGCTGAAGGACACCTGCGAATAATAATTTGCAATACTATTTTGTGCAGGGCTTGTCACATTGGCATTATATCTGGCATCTAGATTCCCAGTGTTCCAGAGAATCACAGGAGACTGCAATAACATTACAGGAAGAGGATTTAAGGGCAGGAAAGGGAGTAGGGAGATTCTAGAAGACAACAATTGAGGGAGAGATGGTTAACATTTGGGCATTCAAGCAACTGGCCTCCCTGAAGTTGCTTCCAGTCTTATCCTTTAGTTTGCAAAATGAACATAACAAAAAAAATGTGCTGGTAGAAGCAACCATTTTGTCAAATTTTAGCAGCTTAATTTTGGTGTATGGGGTGGAGCTGCATGTGCCAGGTAAATCACAGGTTTCCGCCTATGATATAGTACACTGCTAAATTCATGGCTCTCCTGTTTTAGCTATTGATGGTTTTCTGGCTTCTGCAAATGGGATTCAAAACTCCTACAGCATTCCTTCATCATGCATTTTAAAATCATTTAAAATGCATCATTTTGCAGTTTCTGTGTGAACTGCATCATGGCGATTACAGAAATTTTTATATGCAAGAAGTATCATATACAGGTAGTCCACGACTTACAACCACTTGTTTAGTGAGTGTTCAAAGTTACTACAGTGCTGAAAAAAGTGGCTTACAATCAGTGGCTTAACAACTGTCACAGTCATGTAATCCAGTGGTCCCCAACCTTTTTTGTGCCATGACCCGATACCGGCATCACAAAATGATCCGCAGCCCGGTACCGGCATCAGCATGCATGGCAAGGCAAGGCGAGCCGAGCGACCGGCCAGCCAGCTGTCCCCCGCTTCTCCCCGCCACCTTCAACTCCTCCTTTGTAACTTTGTCGATGGGCTTTGCTTCGGGACGGCTTCGGGATGGTCGCTCGGCTCGCCTTGCCTTGGGTGCTGAAAGAATCCTCGCGCCTTAGTTTCGTTCGAAGCCCCCCCCCTCGATGAAACTAAGGCGCGAGGATTCCTTCAGGACCCAAACGCCGCTTTCCAACCGGAAAAGCTCACCCGGAAGCACTTTCTCATCAAACAAGATGGCGGCGCCCAGCAAACCGGCGGCCCGGTAGGAAATGTTCCATGGACCGGTACCGGTCCGTGGCCCGGTGGTTGGGGACCCCTGATGTAATCAAAATTTGGGCGCTTGGTAGTTAGCATGTTTATATGACAATTGGTATGTCCCAGGTTCATATATCACCATTTATACCTTCCCAGTCAACCTCTGACAAGAAAAATCAGTGGAGGAAGCCAGATTTGCATAATGACTATGGCAACAAAGGTAATAAAATAGTGATTCACTTAACCATTTTGCTTAGTGATGGAAGTTCTGGTAATAATTGTGGTTGTAAGTTGAGGACTACTGGTGGTAATAAAACCTTATTAAGTTCCCCTTTCACGTGAATCTGTAGTACTGCAAGTCATTGGGAGCTTTTGAGTAAAATTGCCATTAGAAAATTAGTAATAGATTCTACTGCTCCTTACCATTCAGCCAAGACGGATAAGCAGATAGGACTTTAAAATATGGCCTAAATTTGATAATGGGTTGGAACAGTTTATGTCCAAATTAGCTGGAAATACATGATTGGGGTTGGAAGTTCTCCTTTTGAACAAATGGAGGTGATTTTCAACTGTCACAAGGAGCAACTATAACAAGGGGCTCTTCCACAATTAAGGTTTGGGCCCTAACAAATTTGATGACAATTATCTGTGTTTTAGATGTCCCCCGTCTTTTAGTATTGTCATGATTTTTCTGTGCGACTAATCATGAAAAATATCTAATAGTTGTTGTTGGTGTAAAATGGAAGGCTGTTAAACACTGCAAAATACAAGTACCATATGATATCCTGAAATGTGGATTTCTCATTTCATTTGTTAAATGTGAGGTCCCCAGGGGATTAAGATAACATTTCTTCCATTAAGAATCAATGTTAAAATCTTCCCCTTTAACGGACCACACAGACATACCCACGCACCCATGGTCACCTTCTTAGCTCCCTTAAAATTTGACCCATTTCTCTCAGCATTTAAAAAAGTTGTAAGGACCCATCTTTTTTAATCAAGCTTTTTTAGTTGTTAATAGTTTTAGTATTGGAAGCATTTAGTTTTAATCTTTACACTGTGCCTGTGTGTGTTTTAATTATACTAGCTGCCTTAAGTGCTCATCTGAGCAGAAAGACAAGATATAAATTGAATAAACAAGTGTTATACTACTTATAATACCATGGAAAAAACTAAAAGCCAAAACCTCCTCTATTCTTGTAATGATAAGGCAACTTGAAAGTTAATTTTATTGGATTATTTCTTTCCCAAAGGAAACAATGCCTTTAAAATACACATACACACTACAATCTGTGGTAACATTTTGAATATCAGTTCATAATCCTGAAAATAATTTCATAAGCATTTCTATTTTTATGGTTCATGTGTTTAATGTTGTTGCATAGGGTTGGATTTTTTTATACATGCACTATCTTTTTCCAAAGAATACAAAATTAAGGCTTCATCTTAAAATGATTTGGAGTAAACATCTCTTTTAGAAATGTTATATTCTACTGTTTTTGCTTAACTAAATCTATCTAACTGGAACACAGGAAAGGAGCAGAATTTCTATTATCTTGAAACCGTTATCTTTTCTATTAATACACTGGGTTATTGTTGTTTTCTTTTGCTTCCTCATTTGTTCCATCTTGGTCACATCCTTTATAAACCAAATGCTAACTAAAGCACACTTTGAAGGCTTTTAATAAAACTCTATGTCTTACGTTTATATGTGGTAGTGCAGAATTTTGTTTTTAATCTTAGAGTGCACAGAAAGCCTTATCTCCTCAAATTTCCTTGTGACTAACCCTTAAGAATAATTGTGTCCCATTTATCTTTTTAATAGGATAACCTGATACATGGCTAATTTTAGAGGAAAGTTGCCATTCAGAGAGGATGGAGGTCCAAACATTTTAATATTTTTGTCAACACAAGGAAACCAAAGTCTCTTGCATTAAAGATTTAGAGCTCCACATCTTTTTATAGTTTCTAATGAATATTCCCTATTCTTGCTTGTGGGATTTTCTTTTGTTTAAAAACAGTTTTATACAGGAATAATAGTGATTGCCACAAAAACTTCTGCCATTGAATAACCTTTGCCCAGCCTATGATGGTAAGATATGAAGCTACCGTCAGTTCTTTCCGTTACCTACTACGTAGATTAGAAGACTGACCATTGAATTGACTTTATTAGAATTAATTAGAAAACTGAATTGAATTAATTAGACAACCGACAAATCTTGCTGCAGTAGCTGCTACCTTGGTGGAAAACACCCCCCCCCCCATTATAGCAAAGTGGAATTTCATAGATAGTTAATTATCCACATATTGAACAATACTCTGTTGGAGATCCATTAGTTGAATGCCATATGGAAATGTTGCTCACCAGTGATATTGTTCCTCTATCTTTTTTCATTTTTCTTTGCAGATCTGAAGCCTTGGGTTTCAAATTTCACATACTCTGGTGTATGGGACTTCTCTCAGCTTGCTCTAGATGCCAATAGGAATCAACTCATTGTTGGAGCCAGGTAAATTAGAACCTTTTAATTGGAGCAAGATTGCTTCTCTAGTTCATTGCCTGAACGTTACCGTCTGCAAAAAGAGATTGCTTTTTCAGCCTGCAAGCACACTCCATGTTGCTTTTAAAGCAAAGCCTTAATTTATGTAGAAAGGTTTTAGAAATGCAGTAATGATATTGAAGAGGAGAAAATTGCCAGTCATTCTTGTGAGGGGAAATGTAAGTAAAATGAGGAATTAATGAAACAAAAAGCTGTCATTTCCCACAGATCACAAAGGCTATAAAATCTTTTCTCAGTGAGGTGGTGTCCACATGTATGGAAACAGAACTAGATGAAAGAAAGAATTCAGCGCATTAATGGAGAACATGTTCACATAGTTACATAGTATAGCCCTAGTGTGTCAGGCTCTTTGTCTTGGAGAAGTTTTAGTTTAAATGAACTAGAATGATCATTTGTGCTATTGCTAGAACACTTTGCAGAAAAGGATTATGCCCTCCCCCCATAATTTTTGCATAACCTATGATTACTAATAATGCCATCATAAAATTAGTAGTCTTTAGTTTATTCATAAGTAGCATTTATATCCTGACAGCGTTTAAGAACTGAAATCACACCTTCCTACATTCTTAGTATTTCTGCAACTCAAAGTGCCTGAAAAATTATCACAGTAGCATTTAAAGCAGCTCTTTGAAATAGCCCAATCTTCATATTATAGGTGAGATTATCCAAGGATTTGTGAGATTTGTTTAAGATATCAACAGGTTTCTTCTTGGCTCTTAAATCTTTTCAATGCCTATTGCATTATACAGTCTTCCTCTTGCAAAAATGTTGCCCTGCAGAAAAAAAAAGGTTGAATGTCCATTCGCAACATTCTGGTTTATTACTGGCTTTTGGGGGCTTGTCAAAACCTACTGTAATTGTGAATTCAGACAACTGTAGAATACCACACTACCACTCAAGAAGTTCAGTATCTAATGTATGGAATGCTCCATCCTTGATATTACACTCTTGCCTTTTGGATCTGGCTTCATCGTTCAGGTTCCCTTGAGGCTATAGATCTTTTAAATCTCCTTTTGAGAGTTTTAAAAACAGCATTTAATTCCTCGTTTGTCTGAAAGGACAACATTTCCAAAGAGCAAGGAAATGGCAATTAAAGGGTAGCAATGTGATATTACCAAGAGATAGAGCTAATGCTGTGCAGTGTGTGTCTAGTGGAGAGGTAAACATAAATCACATAGATTCTTTTTGATAAAGAACATATGAGAAAGATTACACATACTGTGCTGTTTTTTCTTTATTTCGGATGTTTATGAATTGTACCAAATGCACTAGATCTTGTCGAGATAAGAACATCCCCAGACTGGATGCTTAGAAACAAAATGTTCAAGGATGTTTGTATTAAATTGTGCGTATGTACTGGCTTAGACCACTGGATGAAACACTGTACTAATGTGTAGCTGAAACAAAAATGGTACAAAAAAACCTAAATCTTAAGAGAAAAGATGTATTTCTTTGGAAAGAGTAGCAGAAGGTGTTGTGGCTCCGATTCCTGAGCCTGTGCTGTTAGAGGAAGAGGACTTGGAAGATGAGGGGGAGGAACTGGGAATGCCTTCCTCCCCAGGGCCTTCCTCCCCAGGACCTTCCTCCCCAGGACCTTCCTCTCTGGCAATGCCTTCCTCCCTGATAATGCCTCAGGTTTCATCAGACAATTGAGAGGAACAGCCTGAGATTGATCAGGAGGAAGACATGTCGGAGCAGCCCCTAACAGGGAGTCAGGAGGAAGAATGTTGGCTTGATCCTAGGCAGCGTCGTAGGGAGAAACGTGAGCAGCAACGTAGGAGGCGTGGGAGGGTCAGAGAATGAGCTGAGTCATTGAGACACACCCCACAGGGGATAAAAGTGGGTGTGTTGTCGGCTGGAACTTTGTACGGGAGTACAAGTAAGTTTAATCTTACTTCAGGTTTTTTGTTGTGAATGATTCTTGTGGTCTGCCTTGTAATTCTCTGTGAGTAGCTTTTTACTTGTTATCAATTCGGACTTGGCAGGCAGAGCGTGTTGGAATGCCAAGGACATTATCAGTTCCAAAGAATTAACTCTGTGAAGTCCGAGTCAGCTTGCCTGCCCGTGTTTGTGTGAGTTTGTACTCTTTCATCTTTTGAAAAAGAAGAAAGGTGAGACAGAACAAGAAAGTGTCATCTGGGATGTTAGATGGTTCAAGAACAGCCAGCCAGAAGAGATGCCAGGAAAAATTCTGCAAAATCACTGCTAACTGAGAAGGATTTATAAAATATTTCTTTTATATGATTATGATGTATTTTTTGATGAATTATTTATTTGTTAAATTTATATGCTGCCCATCTCGCAGTTCATGGTGACTCTGAGCAGCTTTACAATGCAATAAAACAAATCAAAACCAAAACGATTAACAGATAGTCCTTGACTTCCAACTATTCGTTTAGTGACCATTCGAAGGTAGGACAGCTCTGAAAAAAGTGATTTATGACTGGTTCTTCACTCTTATGACCATTGCAGAATTCCTATGGTCACACGATCAAAATTCAGGAACTTGGCAACTGGCATGTATTTATGACGGTTGTACTGTCCCAGTTCATGTGACCACCATTTGTAACCTTCCCAGCCAGCTTCCAACAAGCAAAGTCAATGCGGGAAACCAGATTTGCTTAACGATGGTACAATTCATTGAACAACTGCAGTGATTCTCTTAACAACGGTGGCAGAAAAGGTGGTAAAATGAGGCACAATTCAATGAACTGCCTTGCTTACAAACAGAAATTTTGGGCTCAGTGGTGGTCATAAGTTGAGGACTACTAGTATGACAATGAAAAAAGATTAAAATTACAAAAAATTAAGATAAGCTAAAAAACAACAGTTTGGAAGGGAGAGATGGGGTGCCTTTTCAGTTAATATACCTCTACCCAGCAGCTTCTTCAGAACTCCATTCCAGTTGGCATAGCCAATTTTTAAGGTTTTTCCTGAAGACTCAAAAAAAAAAAAAAAAACCGGGGAGGGAGGAGGAAATCCTAACTTTTATGGCAAGATGTTCCAAAGAGCAGGGATCATGGAAGAAAAGATTCTTGTCCTGGATCCCACCAGCCAAAATTCCTTGCCTGGTGTAGTCAGCAGTAGGTCTCTTCTGCAAGCATGAGCAGGGCGGGCCAATTTATAATATATGAAATATATTTTTGAGGAATTTTGATGGCCAAAAGAATAGTTGCAACTCTTAGTATGACTTTTGAAAGGTCCCAGGAATTAAATGTCTGTGTGCTGGTTTATGTCTCCAGATTGTCAACAAAAGCAAACTGGATCAAGGGAATAATCTCAAATTTATATCTTCCCTTTCTTTCAGAAATTCAAATACATAGCTCTCCCTCTTCCAGTATAATTTTTTCAGTTCCCTAGTAGCTTTTTGGGTGGTAAGATTCTGATGGGAAAAAAATTAGACATTTCTGTTTTCCTAGGCAGTCTTGGACGAGAGTTCTAGTCCTTAAGAATTAGATTATTTTTTTTGTCTGATTCGACCTTGGAATTCAGGCTCACTCTCCCAAAAGTCTTGGGACAACTTCACTTAATAAGGTAAAGTTATCAGGGAAAGTAAAGACTGATAGATAAATTATTTTTAAATTTTCATTTCAGTGCTGTTGGAGCAATATGACCTTATTACCCTTCCTTGTCTCTCTGCTTGCTTTAGATCATTAAAAATTGCCAGCTTTGATATACAAATCTCAACCACAGATAACCATTTCTGAAGCTTTTTCTGAGTTGTCATTCTTAAAATAAAAATATTTATTTTTTGTTTGTGTCCTAATATCATTCAATCCAAAACTACATTGGGTCTGATAATTGTGTTAAAAAGGAGAAAACTCTACTCACTTGTTTAAAAGCTTGTTCTTTGGATAAAAGGATGTCTTCTTCTAACCCATCTAGATTCCAGGTGAAGTGATGTACCACCCCATTATAGAACACGAATTGCAGCAAAACTGGGGATAGAGGAAGTGAGAGTGGCAATTAGCTACTGTTGTTGTATCTGAAGTGGGGTAGGTAGCAGTAGATGATAGTGATTGCTCTCAGACCTAAGGTAGACCACATTCAGGTCATCTGCCAGTTGACAGTAAGGGGAGGAATCGGAGAAAGTGTTGTAGCCAATGATATTCCAGGCTTTTCCACACAGTTACAGGTTCATTAGCTAAGAACTGATTTTTCAGTTTTTTTGGAGTAGCTTCAGTGGTAGGTTTCCAAATTTTTTCCTACCGGTTCTGAGAGCGCACTTTACACGCATGCTCAGGGCCCAAAGACCGCCCTCTGTATCAATGCTGGTGAGTTGTGTTGTTTTTTAGCTCAGCTGAGGTGCAGCAATCCACTCTGCCATGCGAATCAGCAGAGCTGCAAAAAAACAAGGGAATTTAGGAGAGGTAATGGTGGGGTGGGGTGGGCGGGGTCACCCAGAGGTGGTATTTACTGGTTCTCTGAACTACTCAAAATTTCCGCTACTGGTATGCCAGAACTGGTCTGAACCAGCTGAATACCACTCTGAATAGCTTCTGTTTGCTACCCTGGTCTTCCTTGTTAATATATTCCTGGCCTGATTGTAGAAGATCCTATCTCCTTTCCCTTAGCTATCCTCTTTGGTGCAACAGAGCTGCTTGAGCTTTGCTATAAACCAAGGCTTTGTCATGCCCCTGGTGGAGACTGACTCTGAGGGAGAGGAGGAACAGTTGACAGGGAGTGGAAATGTGGCTCTGGAGGTTGTGGAGGAGACTGGGGTAGGGGAGAGGCTGGCTGAGCAGTCAGAGGACCACCCAGGCCCATCTCCCTATCCATCCTAGGACACGCAGGGAGGAGAGGATAAAGGAGAGACATGGTCTATTCAGGAGGAGAGGTCCTTGATCCTCTTCATGGGCTGGAGCTGTGACAACTGAAGAATACGAGTACGGACCTGCGTATGGGCGAATGCTGGAAACAAAGAAAGTTTTATTTTGGTCTGAAGTTAT